AACTTCAAACTAAAGGTGAGAAAGCTGTACATATAGATGGTCTGTAACAGGGTTTCACAAGCTGTGCTTTTTTTTTAGGGCTGAAACTGACACTTATTTTAATTATCAGGTAATCTGCATAAAAAAGTGACAATGCCTGTTAATATTATCCAGAGCCCATGGTGATTCAAATTCAAATTCAGTTTTAGCAGACCAGCAGCCCAAAACCCAACACATGACACAGAAAAGCAACAGCTGCCACTAAGGGCGGCTTAATTGAAAAGTTTGAGCTGTCAATTAATTTTAATGTTTAGCGCATATATTGTTTACCATGTTCAGTTTAGTGTGATGATATGTTAGCATTTGCTAAGTAGTAACATACACACAGCTGAGGCTGCTGGCAATGTTTTTAGCTTTAATCGTCGGTTAAAGCTAAAGTATATAAGTAACTTAAGGTAAAACTAGCATGAAACTCCAAATCAACCCACTCTGCTTCCCCCAGCCGTCCCTCTCCCTGCTCCACTATGCTCTAATCCAACCTGCCGCGCTCTGCCCAGCTCTTTAGATATTTGTTGTTATGAAATTACAATAAATGAGAATGCAACAAACCTTACTGATAAGGCAGGAATAACTGAAAATCTCTGACTGGTTAGAGACGTCAGTCCCGCTCAAAATCTTTTAGAAGCTGATATCTCTGCCCTGCTGCCAGGGCTGCTCACTGAGTCTGGGTCACAGGAGGCTTCGACAGCACCTCTCCACATTAAGACAAGTTTTGGGGCAGATTTCTACAACAAAAATAATTGAAATTTTTGATATTTTACTGTAAATAAAGGTATTTGACAAAGTGAAATTTTGAATGCCAGTACTAAATTTCATCAACAGTTGTTGAGATATTTCAGTCTGGACCAAGGTGGTGGATGGAGCTCTAAGAATTCTGAAAACTAATTATACAAGTCTCAAATTTTTCCTAATGGCCCAGAAAATTGAGAAACTGCGACCATAGCTCTAACTTCCTTTTGGCATTCACACAACTTACTTGTTTGTTTACCCTTCATCTCTGTCATTTATCCTAATCTGTTCCCTTTTTTCAACTTGCCACTTCCTCTCTCTCTCGCCCACACACCCACTCTGCAGGCCATCCAGGACATGAACAGCCTGAAGCGCTTTGTGCGTCAGGCAGAGATGAGTCACTATGCCCTGTTTCGCTGCTACCAGTTCCTACAGGGGTGTGGAAATGGAGATGTGTTGCTGCAGAATGCCAGGGCAGAGCACAGTGACCTGCCTGAAGCCTGCAGCATCATCACTGTCCTGGAGGAGTTCCTCAGGGAACAGTCCCAAGCCCAGGCCTGATTCCATTACAACAGTAATGCAGATAACCTAATACCATTCTTAACCAAGATCTGCATCTTCTCTTAAACATAGAATTGCCAGAAAAAAAAAAGTTTCCTCTTCTGGCACTACTGCTGCTTCTCAACTAGAAAGGGGGTGGTTAAATTTGGAATATGTACAGCAAAAAACTGAGAACTTAATCTCTTTTTTTGGCTAATCATAGTTTATTGACTCAGTAGCATCACTGCATGTATCTTAACAATTAAGATTAGCTCTTAATTGAACCACAGAGCAAAGAGCTCAATGAAGGTGAATAAAAAATAATGTGAAGATCAGTTTAGATCGAGATTGGCACTTTCCCAATCATTTCCTTTTTTGGAGTTTCATGTGTGTATAAGAATTCTATGAACCAAATATTATTACAACACTAGTGTGGCTGACAGTGATCACATGGCAGAACTGATCCAAACTGAAGCCAGTTTCTCTATTACTCATTTGATGTCCAAATATTCTTTTATAATTATTTTGTATTTAATTTGACTGTACTAGTTTTCTTTTGAGGTTAAACACACTGATAATGCACAATTCACTTTTATCCATAGATTCTTTTTTTGCTTACATTTAAACCCAGTACCTGCACTATGATATTGTTTTTGTCAGATGAATTCTTCTGCTCTGATAAACCTACTGTTTGTCTAGGAAGGCACGTTAGATATCTTTTTAATTCTCGGGGAATGCAATCATTTGGATATATCTTCACAGCGTTCACCAGCTCATGAGCTTGTGAGAATAAACAGGCACCATGTGACCAGTCACTCACTACATTAAATAAACATCAGTGCAGTTTTAAAAGGTCTGTCAATATCTGCTAAAGAGAAGTAGGAAATTAAAATAAATAATAGATGATATATTGAATTGCTCAGAGTAAATGTCCATGTTTATTTTCCTTTCATTTTCCATTGTGTATGTGCAACAAGGCAAGAGTTTGTAGTCCATTAAACCTATAAAGGGTTTTAGGACCACACTCAAGTCATTTCCATGAAAAACAGTCCAAAGTGTGAAATACAGCAATATCAGTCTCATGGTGTGTACTTTTAAACTGTGAACTAGGTGAAATGTACATGAGTAATTTTACTGTTGTGAGCCGTAGAGTGGCTAAACCACAGCGCGTGTGTGTGTAGACATTTCTGTAGGTGTTCTCTATAGTTATAAATGACTGTGTGATAGTCAGCTGTATATAGAAAGAGCCAAAATAAATATCACGTGAGCATCTCTGTTGTTGTTCATCTTGTTTAGCTTTGTTTTCCAAGTCGACAAACATAATTTACATGTTATATTAGTTGCATAAATACTGTACAGTGATCCAGATATTCGAAGGCAGCAGCAAAGAGATGTGTGTGTGGTCCAAAAGTTACATGTATCATGAGTCGGGGGTGGTAGCTGCTTCCCTCCAGCCCATCGCTGGTGTCGTCAGAATGATGCCTCATATCCACAAATAGATTTCCTCCTCTTGCTGCTCATCTGCGACTAGAAACAAATTGAAACTTGAGACTTCCAGGTGAGAAGATGTTGGCAGCTGTTGCACATTCTTTCAGTGAAAATTTAACAACTGTGACAGTAACAAGGCAGGATTTACCTGTCGTGTGATCAGGCATCATTCTCAAAGAACTTGGTACGTCGTAGATGCTCTCTGTTGGGTCTTAAGTGGAATGGGGGGAAAAAAATCCACCAAATGATAAAAAAGTTAATTATTTTGGTATAACCAATTTTTTAAAAGCTGAAAAATGTAGTCTCACCATGATGCTCATCAGCCCCCCTGTAAGAAAGAGGGACGTCATACACTTCTTCTTCTTCATCCATCTCTGTTGACACACTGATCTCACATCTCTCTAAGGATGACAGGGCCCGATTAATCACCTCTGTAGTGCATGTCATTATATTTTAGATGGTTAATTTAAAGAACATTTAAGCTCGTACTGTTTCTAAGTGGTAAAACGTCATAGTCTCCTTCTTGTCTGTCCTCTGCACTGCTCAACCCACTGTACCACTGGGGATTGTTGAGACTGTCACCTGAAAACAGAGGAGTTTAGCACCATGTAGCTCACTTCAAGGCTGCAAATCGATTTGAAGTTCACCATTGTGATGTTGGTAGTTACAGGCTGGCAGTGTGTTTTGGTATATGGGCTCCTCACTGCTCGGGCCCTGATGCAGGCAGACGGGGAAGGCGATGCTACTGCTCTCGTGCTGGATGTGGCCTAAAGGAGGAGGGGCAGAAAAGGGCCGAGCAGGCAGCAACTCCAACACGCTGTCACTGTGTGAGTAGACGGGCATGGTGCTGTCAAATCTCTCCTGCTGCTGCTCACACACTTTCAGGCTGAGGAGAAGAGAGACCATGTGGTCAGTGCCTGGCAGAATAATGTGCAGCTAATCTGCTGGATTTATATTAAACAACAAGGGAAATCATCCAAATGCAGAGTTATAGTCCATCTGACAAAGCATGGATTATATTAGCTTGAGTTTAGATCTGACATGACGTCCTCTTCCTACTTACTCTGTGCTTCTGGAGTCTGAGACCCCAAAGGCAGAGAGATGCATGGCTTGCCATAGTTGTGCTACCCACTCCTTTCTGAGAGCTGCTGTCTCTGCTGCCTATACACACACACACAGAGAGAAACAATAGTTTGGAGGGAAACCTATAGGATTTGGTTAAAACTGGCATCCACTGACCCCAGACCTGCTGCTCAGCTTGCAGATTGACCAATTTACAGGTAATAAGAATCCAGTCAAACCACAGTGACTCACCAACATCTTTCTCTTTCCATTTGTCATGATAATCTCAAACTTAAAGCGCTTGCCATCGGATCTCTGGACCTCTCGCACAGACTGCACCTAAACAAAGAGGGTGGATAGAAACACACTTGGGTAACAAAACCTGAGGCGTCTTGACTAGAGGCAAAGCAACAGTGGAGGAGGAAGTAAAGTAAGGAAGGAAGGAAGTAAAAATATACATTATTCACATTTCAAATTATTATTGTTGGATTTCATTTATTGATACATTATTGCTGTTAGTAAAACTGGATAAATTAAATACTTTAAGCACTTTATGTATTGATTGGGATCTTTGTCTCTAACAACACAATCATTTTTGTTTATATTTTGAATGAATTATCTGACTACAGAGAACTGTCAAAAATAAAGTGGGTAAAAAGTACAATATTTGCCACTGAGAAGTATAAAGTAGCATGAAATGAAATTACTCCATTTCAATTGCCACATATAACTACTTAAACTATAAAAGCAGTTTCTCATATATGTCAGCTATAACAGTGGCTGACTTACTGTGTAAATGTAGTAATATCCTCTCAGGTGCGACTGCAAAGAAACCATTAAGATCTTTAATAGAACAAGAAGCAGGACCGTCGCAAGAAATTTGACTTGAGTCTGAATATAATTTACCAATGTAGATTTTAAAAGGACTTTATACCACAGCAAACATCTACTTACAGCACTGCAATTCTTCTGTGTATAGAAAAACAAGGTTGTATTCTGAAGCCTGAACCAATATGTTACCCATCGTATTTTCTATTGGCAGAAAAAAAATAGCATTAATAGGAATCCAAATCACTTTCATCAGTAAATCAATACGATAAATACAATGAGTTTGTAACTTACCATAGTATCTTTTCTTTTCTGCAGAAAGCCCTCAAACAATAACTTAGTCCCATCTACAGACATGTTGGCAATCACACTGTGGCTACTTTAATTCTACCTGTGAACGTGGTGCAACTTCCTCCTCACACGAGCTGAGAACAGTACAGTTCACTTCCTCACTTCTCTGTTTTGCTTCACTAAAGTCCCAGTTGTTCACAGAAACAGTTGATCCTACATTTATTTCACACAGCCCCTTTTTAAAATGCCTGATTTTACTACTGCTGCTCTTCAAGGACACAAACACAACTACATCAGCGGGTGTAAATATCATTTATTACAGATATTTAACACCTGTTCTGTTTCACCCATTAACACGCACCACATCATACAGTTGTTTATTGTAAATGCTGGAAAAGAGAAGAAGAAACACTTCCATAGTTTTAAGGTGAAAGAGGTGTGATGAATGGCTGTTAGTAGTATCACCTTTTGCTCCATGGTACCTGTAATGTCATGAAAATAAAAACAAAAGCAGATCATCATAAATGTTACGACTCAAAGACAGCTTGGTTAAGAGTAAATACAAAAATACAAGGAAAATATAAATCCCTCTGTTTCACGTGATGCGCTCAACACAGACAAGGAGACAAAAATAAAGGTTAATAAATTAACACACAAATTTAACAAGTGCATGACATCCATGAACTTCCTAGTGTCAGATATAGCGTTCTCTGTCCTAACACCTCCTGTGGGCGTTGCTTCTGACTTGTAACATTGTCTACGGGTCCGATCCTAAAACTCTGGAGGAATACATACATACTTAATATACATGTATAAACAAATTCATTCCCTTTGTGGTGTTCCTGTGTCTGGCTGCCTCTGTCTGATCTCCAAACATCCAACTAATACTGACCTGAGAAAATAACTGGGCAACTACTACTGTCTGGTCTGCACTAAACTAGACCAACATATGTCAACAAAATGTCAGGTTTTACAAATCGGCTAATGGACGAGTGACAGTTCAAATGTGATCGTTACCTTTCAATAACAAAAAACCTTTTTAAATGCATATAAAATGTGCACATGATCTTGCTTATTTGTTTCTTGCCCATGTTGCATCGTAGGAAGGGGCGGAGTTTTGAGGCAAAGGGCCAGATTGGTTGGTCAGCCAATCGTTTTGAGTCTTTCAGGTAGAAGGGGACGAGGCAGAGTCAACAGAGGATCCGGGGGAGGAAGTAGCCGTCTCATCACCGCTGTTTGAGAAGTGCTCTGTACATGGCGAAGCCCAGCACCGCAAACACTGTGGCGCCGACGCTGGCCCTCAACCAGAACGTTGAGTTCTTCAGGTCTACCTGAGCCATATGCCTGTGAGAGGAAGCCAGAGACACACACAGAGCACGTGAGGGAGAAAAGCTGAATGAAAAATGAATGCTATGGTGTTTTATTTATAAAACCACAGCAGGATAAAGTACCAAATGACAAAACAAAGTCATGCGCTCTCTCTCCAGTGCAAACTTCCTGAATCAGGACCATAAATGACAAATGTCAGTGCCCTGTGATACCAGCTCACATATGCTTTCTCTTGACATTTGGTTTGAGGAACAGCGCCGAACACTACAGTAGCTGGATGAAAAGAAGGACAGGTGTTGTAGTTTGATTAGCAGCTGCTCTCATTCACAAGGGAAGGCAGAAAGTAGAAGATACAGAACTAAATGATCACTGAAATTGTATGGAGCCCAGGAGGTGTCAAGAACAAAATAACAAAACTAGTTCAGTAATCTCTGCTTTCAATTTAATTATTAAGTCTCTTGATTTAATATTATATTTTGCCTCCTCCCCTCTTGTAGAGGGGCAGCAAACACATTTGGTGCAGTGCACTCATTTCAACAGAATGACTTCCCGTCAAAAATGTTTAAGGGATTTCATAAAAAAAAAACCACAACACTGTGCATACTAGCCAAAACCACTGACTGTAAAAACGATGGACAGGTCGACAGCTTTCAGAACTGAAGCTGCCGTGTCTCGATCGCCCCCTGGTGGCTGTCTGTAGCAAGGTCCTAAAATCCACCTTTGTCCATATTGGTGGATAAAACATCAGCCACATTAAAAACTGAACATACAAACCAGGTACATGTTTCCCCCCAAAAGGTGACCTCTATAGTTTTTGGTAGATATCATCACAAGGATGTGTGTACAAGTGGTCATTTCTCTATTAAGTTTGTTTGTAATAAATTACTTGATATAAAAAGAGGAGTATTTCAAAGATCTGACAGTGTTGACTAGTGGTCTGATGAAATCACTCCACCTCTGGTAGCTACTGCGCAGAATCTGGTTGAAAAAAGCAAAATGGCAGCCGTTCATGATATTTTGGCTTCATTCTTGTATAGTGGAGGGAAGTGGTGACATCATGTTCATCACATATATGTCAGTGGCCAAAATCCAAAAGAACCGTACACAACCAGTCAAACGCTTAGACAAACATCCCACAAGTATATTAAATCCAAGTAATCCATAGTGAGAGTGTGGTAGGTTATGCTAAATCAAAAGCACAGATGATTGATTTAAATGATTAAATCATAGGCAGTTTGCTGGCTCCATGACACCGCCCAGGCTCCTGCTCTGCTAAATGCAACTCCACTCGCCTGGAAAGACAGAAACACTGGGGAGCTACGCAGACTGCAATCAAGAAAAGTGTATAAAAATAAAGGAGGCAGCAAAGCAGAAAGAAATCATGTGTTATATGTTGGTGCATGGCTTCAATAGCGGTGTAAATATATTAAATCCTCCCAGCAGCTGATCAAGGTGCAACACAATTTGCTCTATCACAGGTCACTTGTGTTCCTTCCTTCTCTCTACAACCCTTCAGGATACAAATACATTAACAGCTGTACCGTACAACCTGTTCCCAAACAGGGGGCATTTTTCCACCAGATACCAGACCTGTAATGACGCACATACACACCTGTCCATGTATAACGCACAGTACAACACCTGTTTGTCTGTAAACGTGGTTTCTGCCTTTACCTGCCTGAGGGAATTAGCTGCTCAGCAGAGGCCTCCATAAAGATGGACCCCTCCACGCTGGACACGGCTCAAACCTGCAGCGTCAGGCTGAACCCCTCCTCTGACAGCAGGTAGGCCCCCATAGCCTCCACCCACCCAAGCAGCATTCCACACACAGTTAGGCAATTGTCTGTCTGCAACCACTGACTGTTTTCATTAGTGGTTAATCTGATGACAAACAGATTATACTTCATTCATTCATTTTCTACCGTTTAGTCCCTGAACAGGGTCACGGGGGGGGCAGAGCCAATCCCGGCCGGCAATCGAGCGAAGGCGGGGTACACCCTGGACAGGTCGCCAATCCATTGCAGGGCTAACACATAGACGAACAACCACACACACGCACATGGGCACTATAGGCAATTTAGAGACACCAATCAACCTAAGCTGCATGTCTCTGGACTGTGGGAGGAAGCCGGAGCACCTGGAGAGAACCCACGCAAGATTATACTTGATTCTTAAAATAACAGAAAATGGCCTGAGGAGGTGTCAGACAAATGTCGTAATGTCGTTTTGTCTGACAAACTGTCTAAGCTGTTACGTTTTTTTTTTTATCATAGCACAGCCAATATTCACTTTTGAGAAGCTGAATTAAAAAAATTTCTACATATATGTCAAAGATTTGTCTTAAAACAAGTAATCAGTGATCAAAATTGTTGTCGGCTGACTGCCTCAGATTTAATATTGACACTATCGTGTTACACTAGGAATGTGGTTGTCAGTTTAGATGAAATATTTTGCATAGAGTAAATGTTAACAGAATCCATCCATCCATCCATTTTCCTCCGCTTATCCGGGACCGGGTTGCGGGGGCAGCAGTTTAAGCAAAGATGCCCAGACTTCCCTCTCTCCAGACACTTCCTCCAGCTCCTCCGGGGGAATGTCGAGGCGTTCCCAGGCCA